AGAGAGAGAGAGAGACGCGGAACGAAATTTACATGTGATCTAAGCGAACCAAGTCATTTTAACAATCTCGCTTTTGTTTGACAAAGATACGTTCGGCTGCGCCGAGTTCCGCGGCGGAAAGCAAGTCTTTATACTGTTCACGTAACAGGTCGGGTCATTCGAGGTAATTGAGTGGCCTTAATTTTTTAATCGAGCGGGCTCGCATCCCGGGACCGACGAGGCTCCGACAGGACTCGACTCCGCAATACACGGCTCGTTATTTTATTTATTCGCGCCGTCCCCAGAGCCGCCGGTATCCCGCGGTTCGTGCATTCTACGTGTATATTGCGCTACGCTGCGCATTAGATATCGCGGCAGATTCTCGCGCGCGATATCGCGGATTAGGACTGGCAAAGAGGACGATGTTGTTTTCTTCGGGCTGACCTGGCACGCGAAAGCGTTCCGCGAAGCATATTTTACGAGAGCTCGGAGAGCGAATCCCTTTTTCGGGGCTCGCATAAACTGTGAAAACATACTCGCGATCGCGAGTTAAAGCATTCTAAAACTAGCGGCAGATTATGCGCGATTCTTGCTCTTCGACTTCGTAAAAACCTGGCGTACAAAACGAATAATAAACGATTAATGTGAACTGCATTTACGCTACTTGCGAATTTTATAGAACCATGAATCGCATAGTTTAGATAATCGAATCACCCTTTTTTCAGTATCTTGTTAAAGACAATGCGGAGACTTGATATTTTTTAATCCGTTTATAACGAACTACTTAGCCAATGAAGAATCGCATTTCTCGTTGATTAGAGGCTGATTTACGAGTTGTTATCGATTGAATCTATTTAATAAAACATTTTTCCAACGGACAATCGCATTTCTCGCTAATTTATGTGTTGTTATCAATTGAATCTAACTGATAAAACATTTTTCCAGTGAAGAATCGCCTTTCTCGTTGACTAGAAGCAAATTTATTAGCTGTTATCAATTGAATCTACTTGTAGAAGCATTTTTCCAATTAGCATAGAAAATCGCATATCACATAAATTAGATGCCAGAATCATTTATGACTCGTTATCGATTGAATCTTTATAACGATGCATATGTATATATCGTAAAGATTATCGGCGCTCAGTTGCGTTCGTAAACAATAAGAGAACGAAAGAAACAACCTCACAGATTAATCTAGAGGAAAGCTGCAAATACATTTCCTTTATCTCTAGATATCAATAATGAATAACACAAGAAGCATTCATTATGGAGCTTGTTCATTAATATTATTATGCAGGAAAACGCGCATGAAGACTTCAGCTTTACGTACAATCATCTCGTAGTCCACACTGTCGCGTTTGCGAATTCAGTGAACTTCGACGCTAAAATGCAACGCTGGATCCTAACGCAGAGATGCCGGCTTGGGAGCTCTGCCAGGCAGCCGGGGGCATGGGGGGGGGGGGGGTAGGATGGAAGGTAGCACTCAGCGCCACCTTCCACCTTCTACTGCCTGACGCCGGCCTAGCGCCGAGCGCTGCCCGGGCTGCCTCCACTTGTCCTCTTCGCTGCCTGGCAGATCTTCCCAGTCAGCACCTCCGATCCGATGCGGCCGCGCTGCTCCCGCCGTCTGCGCTGTGGCTCGCGTACGCCGCCTTTTATACTCCCAGCCGATACCTACCGCCGACCAATCGGCGCTCGGCGAGCGGAGCGCCGCGTGCATTGGCTGGAGCGCCGGCGGTGGGGAGCCGGGTATAGAAACGGCGCGTACGGAAGCCGCGCCGCGTTGATTGGCTGGAGCGCTGGCGGTGGGGAACCGGGGTATATAAGCAGCGCCTGCGGGAGCCGCTCCAGTGGAGCGCTCGCCGGTACGTCACGTCGCTCGGGGAATGGAACAGCAACCTCTCCCGACATCCTCCCTCCAAGATCCCGAGGCCTCGGTGCAAGTTCTTGGCGTGGAACTTGGCTTTGCTAACAGCTGCTGCCAGTGATTTTCCTGCTCCTTCCTGATGCATCCTTCTTCCTGTTAATTATTTTTGCAGCATTCCTATCGTTTGCAAGGTAGAGTACTGAGCTTCTGGCGGACCAGAGGTTTTATAAAGTTTAGCGTGGCGTCTCCGTCGTCCAACTTCGACCACCACTCGGGCGGATCGTTTCTCACGTCCGACAGTTGAGATTTAATGTTTCCAGTAGCAGGGAATGTAATCTTAGCCGCGTCTCGGCGGATTAATGCGCACTCCTGGCTTCGATCGAGCGATCGACGCGCCGGCTACGCCAATGGACCTCGACGCGTAACGGGGCTCGGTGCCGCGGTTCGCTGCACTCGAAACTCTTGGCGCTTCCTGCATAAACGGCTTTTTTTTTCTTCCGAACGACCGGAGTTTAATTAAATCTGCCGCGAGGGGGAGGCGCATCAAGGTTGCCGCACCGCGAATCCCGTTTACTGCCGCGAATCGACACGACGCGCCGAGGGAGCGCGAGAAGGTGACGCCGCCGCCGCCATTTTCAATAATCATTTCGGACGCCTTTCTCCGTTGTCAATTTCGCCTTTCTGGATCCACAATTGGTACGCGCGCGAAATTCACAAGTTATATCGTCAGACACTCGCGCTGCGGTTTATCTTAAGGAGAAAAAGTTCGGAAGGTAGGAAATATATTAATGTAAATAATCAACGTCGATTAATATTGTAATTAACTTCTTCCTCGTGCAACTGCGATTATAATTCCGTCAATTCTTATCATATTCTAGAAAAGAAAAACGTTTAGGCCCGATTTTTTATTTTGAGACCCAAAAAATGAAAAACCGGGCCTTAATATTACATGAGTGACAAGAGCGTTTGTGCTCTCGCTCTCTCTCTTTCTCTCTCTTTCTCTCTCTCTCTCTAGAAACACATTTGATTTCTAATCTCTCATACGCAGTATCTAAACGTATCGATGTCGCGTCTCTTATCTCCCCGCCCGATCGTTGCGCGATTCGCAGGACGCGCGATCGCAACGAGCGATAATACAATCGCGCGCGCGCGCACGCATGCGCGAGTTCGCGGGAGCGAAGTGAAAAGCACCGCAGTTCCCATGAATGAAATTGGCGGCGGGTCGCCGGACCACGCGACGGTGTGGGTGCCGTGCGCGGCTCGCGCGTCACGTGAACGGAGCGGACCCGCGGTTTCGCGCGCGCAGCCGCTTCGGTGAAGGTTCGGGAGATGTCGCGGGGCTCGCTCGCGTGGCGGCTGAAACACCTGACGGCGGCGTAGCAGTGCGGCATGGACTGGTGTGGCGGGCGCACACTTGTTTCAAAACAGGTAGCACGCGCTACCGGCTGATAGCAGCGGCGATTCCCCGTTCTTCCTGCCTCCCGTCCACCCTCTCGCCCTCTCGCACCTGTCCGCGCGCGGTCGGGGTACGTACACGACAGTGCCCACGTGACGCACCCGCGATTTTTACGCGGCGCGCTTGGCCGGAGTTCACATGGAGCACCGAGATCGCGGAGCGACGTCGACGACCGCGAAGTCGCCCCGAAGACCGCGTCCCCGTTGCCTTTACCGCGAGTTCCTCGCGTAGAAGCGTGTGCGCGGTCAAGATCCTCCGTGTGTCGGACTCGCCGGTAATCGAGGGAGAGAAAATGTGACCGCGCGGCCACGACGCGCGGTGATCGCGGCGCCGGGACCGAGAAGTGCGGAAGTGTGCTTTTGAACGTGCGCTCGCCGAAAAATGACGCTCGCGGGCCGGACATCGGTGAGGACGGTGCTGCTCACGTCGTTGCTGCCGATTTCCGTGGTGCTGGTGGTGCTGGCGGTGCTGGCGCGCGCCGGGGACGTCGCGACCTTGGACTCTGGGACTGGAGACGGCGTCGAACCCCTTCCGGCATCCAGGGAGGAGCGGCCGCGTCCGAATACAGGTGAGTCAACCAGTTTCCGCTTTACTTTTCGTTCCCTCTCGACGACGTCGAGACATTTCATTTCGGCTCTCGGTCGTCTCTCTGCAGAAAAAAATAACGCGCTCTAATTTCATTGTAAAGGAATCCAACGAAAGTAGAATGTACGAAAGCACGAGAATAACTTTCGTGCGTCATCTTGCTTTTAATTCTACGTTCCGGTCTTTAATTCCGCGAGCGTCTTTGTAGTCGTGACTTTTCTCAGTCGTGCTTGCAATAATTTAATATAGCAACGTTCATAAATTATGTCGGATCCGTTACATTAGCTGAAACATTAAGGCCCGTATTCGGAGCTCTCTTTTATCAAAAGAAGCGCCTTTAAAAGTGGCTAATAAGCCTTCGTAGAGGCGCTTTTGCCGATAAAAGAGGTTTCAGAAGACACGGGCCCAATAGTTGAAAACTATTCAACTATTTGAAACGTCGATAAAAAAAGTAGGAATTTATATAATTATGAATTTTGAAATCAATTGTGAGAGGAGCGACAAAAGTGCAGGACATGATAAAAATTTAGGTTCAAGAGCGATTAAATAGGAAGAATATCTGAACATTGATAATAATAACGCAATACTGTTGCACTTCCACTGAAGAAATCATAATGCGTTTTCCTTTCTATCATTTTCGCATTAGTAAAATAATAGCGATTCTCACGGTCGATCATGTCTTCTTCGCAGTGCTTTACGATAGGAAAAAATTGCACTCGTATAAAAATATAATAATATAGGAGGGTGAAAGGCGCATCTGCGCAAGACATTTCACCGTCACTGCGTCCTTATCTTCCTTTTATTCCCGCGCGAGGATGCGCTCTACGGCGATCATTGCAATGACGGTGAATGCCTGAACTTTGTTGCTCGTCTCAGCTTTGCCGATGAAGAACGACCTTTGCACTCGGCTGCTTCTGTGAAAGTACGCTCGCGCATCTCCTCTATTCGCTCCGCAGCGATACGTCCCGCAGAATTCTCCCCAGAAATCCCGTAGATTCTGAAATTTCCGAGAGTATATTTAAATTTCACTCCGCGTTAAATATTTCAGTTATCGATATCAAGTATCGGAAAACTGTGTAACATGATTTAGGGATTTGGTATCATAATTACATATGAAAAATTAATTTTTACATGAATTTGTTGAAAAGCGCATTTATATTTGGATTTTATTATTTGAATTGAATACCAATCAATTGATTTCACTCATGAATCGTCAGACTCTACTAATTGTATACAAAGCTCGTCTGCTTTCCAAATGCTGTTTCCACGATTCGCAGAAGCGTCCTCGACGCGTACAGTATCGCAATTAAGCACCTCCGATAAATAGACACGGGTCGGTTTCCCATGGTCTTTAGAAATGCGCGGCGCTCATTTGCTCGGGCCGCATCCGTCGTCCCGATCAAATCGATTAATTTGCATGCACTTAGAAAGGCGGAAGCACGTGTGTCGACCGCAAAGCCGATGAATCCTCGCGGGGTATCCTTTGAGTGCAAATTAATCGCGCGACCGCACTTTCTATTGGCAGTCAAACGCGATGAGTGCGGCAAATGCATTTTGACGCGATCGGCATACCGAGGTCGGCGGCCGAGCCTTTTTCCGCGACGATTGCGCTTCGCCTTAGATCATCGTCAGCGCACGTTTATCGCGCTCCGACTCGCTAGGGTGTTGTTGGAAAAGGAATCGAATCGAGGTATCCAAGTTAATGGACTGCGGCTGCCTGTAATGACAAACGTTGTTCCAACTCTTTTGTGCCGTCCGTTTCAGCTTCTCAAACGCGATATTCGGCGATTATCAGAGAGAGAGCAACGGGCTTCTTCACGGCTCGTTGAACTTACTGCATGTCGTATTAACGATAATCTAATTAATCTGCGATCAAATTTTACCGAGCAAAGTGTTAAACACTTGTTTCCCCAAAGATGCGCGCAAGGGATATTTTAGCCAGGAACTTTGTGATGAAAATTCGGAGAGGATTTAAAAAGAAAGATAAATTAATCCCTGACGTTTTGCATCCAAAAGTTTCGAGTTACTCTTGAAAGAGTGTTTTGAATGAAACTTTCCTCGTGTACTCGAGTTATTTTCTCGAGATCGAAATGGCTGAAATCAAGTATTCTTGGGTGATCGTCGAGAGCGCGAATAACTTTTCGCGAATCGACGGCGGATTCCTCTTCGACGTGCGACAATGTGTCGTACGGCGAATGCATATGCATGCACCGGCGGGGATGCGCGCGGAAAACGTTCCTGGCATCGGCCCGTGTAGAATCCTCTTTCAGCCTTGATGCGAATGGTACGTACGTGTCGAGGCTGCTGTTAAAACGGGGGGACCTCGTGCGAACGTAGCCTACGGATAACTGTTCGCCGGTCGCGAACGTGCCGCGAGCGTTTATTTAACGACCGCGAATTTACGAGACCCTAATGTTATTTACAGCTCGTAAGGTAATCCCTTAATGAATCACGCGATTCCAATTTGGCGCAGCTCGGACCGGCCCGTAAGACATCCGCGAAATTTAATGACCGCGCGCTTTGTAATTGCTCGTTCTTTCGCGCCGTCCTATGAATCCTCGAGATCGCGTCTCTTCTCTTCGAGAGACGTTAGCTCATTATCTCGTATTGTGCTTATTTATGCGAATAACAATATTTTTCTCTATTTTACGGCCGTGTTCTTGCTAGAGCGCTCCATTTTACGAATTCGTTTTGCATCATATATTATCCAATTTCGAACATTCTTATACATTTAAGTTTAATTCAATATCGTTGGCAGTGGTTGTGCAAAAGATGGAATTTTTGTAAAGGAATAAAATAAATTTAGTAAAATCTTTGGCATTTCAAAGCAATATTGGAATTGCAAATTGAAATATAAATGCGACATTTCATATCTATTTTATTTTCGCTTTTAATAACATATACACATTTTCGCAAAAATAATTTCGTTGGAAGACGAAGGTAGATATTAATTAAGAACGCAAACGAAGAAGTCAAAGGGTAATCGCGTAAAGGCGGGAATTCAATTTATCTCAGACGAAACGCGTTACGTTTCAAGTTGCAAGTGCAACGTGTGGTTTCCTTTCACGGTTTTCGATAACAGGATTTATATTATGAGATACAGTCGACGCGGAGCCTTATCAGGGCTACTACAACCGCCTCGGCACTCGCTCGCGTGGCTCAGCAGGGTTGCCGCGAAGAATAGACTGCAATAGGATGCAATTTTCTAGGAAGATTCAGGATACTCGGCGTACACGCAACATTAGATATCCGTGGGAGATTTAATTAAGATTATGCCGCTCGCCGGCTTGTTCGATCCGTCCTAATCATGACTGCAAAATCAAATACCAAGGCTCAATATGTTTTATTTCTTCATATTTTCGCTATTCAAAGTGTCACGTACGTTGGAAAAGATATTACTGAATGCAATTCATTTATAATATCAATTTATTTCAATTTAGTAGGCGAGGAAGATAGATTTATACGGTTTATAAAGCGAGATTAATGTTGGAAAGTAATGTAACATAGCTGAAACTTAACGTATATGAAATTTAATTCAAGACAAGAAGCAGTTAATTTTTTAAATGTTATTAAATGTAAATCCTGCTAACGATAGCAAATCTTACGGCCTAAACTCAGCTATTTGAAAGAATGCAAAGTAACAACATTGCCCCTTTTGCGATAACGCGCTGTTTTTAACCCGATTTTCACCAATATCGTTTGGCTTTGATCTTAATTTAAATCGTCTTTTGTCTTTTCCTAAGGGAACAGAGACAAAGGATGAATGAAACTAATCGTAAGATCAAAGTTAAACGACGTCGATGAAAATTAATGTTTATTAATGTCTTCGGGGACGCGTCTTTCGAGCAGGAATCGAGAAAATTCGCGAATTGATTTATGCCACGTAAGTCGGCCTAAAGATTTAAGGGCTGATAATCTGTCCGATACAAAATGTAGGTACTTGAAATTCCGGCGGCGGCGGTGGCGGCTGGTCCCCTCTTCGTTTTTAGAGAAAATTTACGATCTGCCCAGAACGCGTTCGGTCACTCCTACCCGGGTGCGAAGGGTGTAATTTTATAACCGGTCATAATTAGAGATATTAACTCGCTTAGGATCCTTTACCCGTGAGTTCCACCGCGAGCTCGCCTCCTCTTCGGATTGTGCGGCGCGCGGCTATTTCGCTCCTATTATTATGCCGGAACAATGAATAGTTAAAATCTCTTTACGGCCATGTGAGTGAGCCGGTGAGAGAGCCTTCCCGTAGATGCCGGCAGACCTTATGGTAGGGCCTCGTGTTTCCTTTTTGTCTCCTTTCTTCGCGGTTCGGCGTGTCGAAATGTATCGTAATGTCTTGCCTTTGTTCGCTAACTGGAAATTGTTGACATTAGTTATCGATAGTGACACGAGATAGAAATTCAACATGTACAACATGAATATGAAGCAAACAGAATTCGCAGATAAAATCAAATTGGCTCGACGTGCGAAAAACTTTATTAAGTTTGATTTATATTATTTCTGAATCGAAGATAACAGGATATAAAATCAATTTGTGTTATTTTTATTATTATAGGTTTAAGTAAGATTTAGCTGCTTTTCCCGTTCGTGTTAGAACTTGACGGATATGGCTCAATGCGGTGTGATTTATGCCGAGAGTAGAGTGCGCTTTAGTCAGACATTAACGAGATAATGTCGAAGAATGCGCCAAATTCCGACGAGAGAAACACGTGGTAAGCGGGAAATCGTTGTTTCGATTATGCAAGTGGCAAATAAGAGAGTTATTTATATTAATAACAGTTGTTTGCTACTTTTACGATCGTCCGATGCTTTTAAGACTGTCCTGACTTTACCTAAACCATGCAGCAGTGATGGATTTATTCAAAAGTATCACAGCACGAAATCAAATTTTGCCACGATACAATTTTTTCATGCGAATTTTATGACACTTAGCTCTCACCATTTAACGAAGGCGCAATTCAGAGATAATTAGAAAGACGTAGATTCTTG